AAAGAAACCACATTACTTCTCCAGATAAAGAACAAATGAATTTTCTTTCTATTTCTCACATTAAAGAAAGGAAAGGAGGCTCAGCGCCTGTAGCTCAAGTGGCTAAGGCGCCAGCCACATACACCAGAGCTGGCAGATTCAAGTCCAGCCCAGGCCTGCCAAACAACAATGACAACTACAACCAAAAAACAGCTGGGCATTGTGGTGGGCACCTGTAGTATCAGCTACCTGGGAGGCTGAAGCAAGAGAATCACCTAAGTCCAGGAGTTGGAGGTTGCTGCGAACTATGATGCCACATTACTCTACCCAGGGTGACAGCTTGAGACTCTTGTCTCCAAAAATAGAAAGGAAACGAAATGGATTAAATCTGAATTGTATCAACTGAACTTGACATCAAATTCATACGTAAAGGTATGAAATCTTTTTCTTAAAGAACCTTAATTAAAAGAATTAAAAATAGCAATATTTTTCTTCATTAACATTAAACAGTTAGAAAACTGAGATGATCTAAAGAGTTGATCATATATATGACTTCAGTCATTTGCAAAACCTCCACATAAAGGGGTATTAAAAGAAAGTATGACAGAAAATTAACTGCCATGGCTGGACTCATGCTTAATAACTAACTATATCAAGGGTTTTCTTCTAAAAACTGAAGCCCATGCTAAAGGGGTTGTTTGAAAACTTCACAGGCCAATTATTTGTGATTTCTTTCTGTGTGACACCCTTAAACAAGTACAAACTGAGGCCAGTTTGGTAAAGAAATATTTTACATATAGTCATAAGCTTAATCTTAGACCCTTAATGATTATATAGCAGGAAAGTCACTATAGTGTTCTCACCTCTAGATCAATCATAAGTTCAATGAATCTTTCACAGTAATGAACTTTGTCCATGGTGACAGGTTCTAGATATAAGAGAGAAAACATGTTAGGCCATTTGCATGCTATTTCTTAAAACCAGCAGTTATTTAATAATTTAAACAGTCACATGTCCCTTATGCATCAGAACAGGATTAAAGTTCAGGGTAAGAATCTCATGTATTTTTTAAAAGGCAAAGGCAGTCCTTACCCTTATATTTAGCTCAATAAATATGAGAAAATGAAAAATCAAACTTGGATCAGAAGTGCATTTGAGGCAAGACATGATGGCTCACATCTGTAATCCTAGCACTTTGGGAAGCTGAGGTGGCTAGACTGCTTGAGCTCAGGAGTTTGTGACCAGCCTGAGTAAGAGCAATACCCCATCTCTACTAAAAACAGAAAAACCAGCCGGGCATTGTGGTGGGCAGTCTATAGTTCCAGCAATTTGGGAGCCTGAGGCAAGAGGATGGCTTGAGCCCAAGAATCTGAGGTTCTGTGAGTTATGACACCACAGCACTCTATCCAGGGTGGTAGAGTAAGATTGTCTCCAAAAAATGCATTTTGAAATTCAAGTTAGCAAGGATATTTTAAAGGCATCAAATTTATAAAACCTCTCCTTGGTGATTAGATTTTGAAAAACTTAGAAGAAAATCAGAAGGTAGTTTTTTACATCAGTCTATGCTCCACTTTCCTTATTGTTTTCACATACTACACTTCTCAAAGTTCTCTCATATGTGTAAACAGATATGTATACACATATAAATATGCTTATACACGTATGTATTACTTTATGTATTACTTTTGATATTAAAATGCCAATGATACACAAAGTAATAAAATGCTTTTTAAATCAGTCTTATTTTATGCTATTCATGACGATAATGTGCTATTTTTATAAACATTTATTTTTGTTTTTAAATAATTACAACCTTGTGACATGAAACACTTTCAGAGTACAAGTTTTTTTTCTAATGCCAGAAAATGGGCTACAATTTAACCAGCTAAAACCATCCTGCCAAAATGGTTTCAATTAAAATGGAGATAATTTTAGGGTCCTCGTTGCTGCTTAGTTTAAGTACTCCAACAGTGATGAACCCCGTGCCAGACCTATAAGAGTCATCCTATAAATGTTTAAATAAAAAGCCACTTATTTATTTGGAGCGTTCAGGAAAGGCTTTATGTGAAGAAAGAAACATGAATACTTTTGTGACTAATATAGAAGTGTTAACAGAAACTTTTCCTGAAATTCTATGCCCATAATACAGACCCTGAAATAACAGAATCATAGAATTTAATAGCTGCAAAACAGTTTAGAGAACATTTGTTCTAATTCTCACTCTGTCGCCCTGGAAGAGTGCTGTGGTGTCACAGCTCATAGCAACCTCAAACTCTGGGGCTCAAGCTATTCTCTTGCCTCAGCCTCCCAAGTACCTGGGACTATAGCTGCCTGCCACAATGCGCAGCTAACTTTTTCTATTTTTAGTAGAGGTGGGGTCTCACTCTTGCTCAGGCTGGTCTTGAACTCCTGAGCTTGGGGGATCCACCTGCCTCAGTCTCCTAAAGTGCTAGGATTACAGACCTGAGCCACTGCACTCAGCCACTGAGAACATCTGTCCTAGATCTCCGCTTTCCAGATGGAGAACCCAAGGGTCAGAGAAAACGACCTGATGAAATGTGTGGAACTATACTTCTAAGGGCTGGTTAGGCCCATCTTTTCTGAGATGTACATATACCTGTTTAAACTAAAAAACTTAAAGGAGAAATTTTTAAATTTTATCTTGTGAAATCTGCCCTTTGTTGCTCTTTTGTTCTTATAACCATCAAGTGGAAATATTTTTGTCCAAAGCTTAAAAAGTGAGTAAACTCTGTATCTTTATTTATAACTTGAGAAAATTACCAGCAATGACCTATTTAAAATTAGGAAATAATGCTTAGTGCCTTGGTGAATAAAGTTACATGTTTTTATGTTAGTTGGCTTTATTAGGCACCAACCTTATAATAGAAATCTCGTTCTTTCAATTTCAGACACAAGACAGTGCCTGTGGCTCAGTGGGTAGAGCACTGGTCCCATATACCAAGGGGGGTGGGGGGTTCGAACCTGGCCCCGGCCCAACTGCAATAAAAAAATAGCCAGGCATTGTGATGGATGCCTGTAGTCTCAGCTACCTGGGAGGGAGGCTGAGGCAAGAGAATCGCCTAAGCCCAGGAAGTGGAGGCTGCTGTAAGCTGTGACGCCACAGCACTCTACCAAGGGCGATAAAGTGAGACTCTGTCTCTAAAAAAAAAGAAAAAGAAAAAAACTTCAGGCACAAATATATCCTTGTCATTTATCGCTTAGGTATACGGCAAGTTTTTTCCCCCTTTTCTGATAGCAGTCCTAACATCAGAGATCATCCCACGCAGATTTCCAACAAATGTTATCGATGTGTTGTTTTTATGGCCCTTTAAAATGACACTATATAAACCTTCTTGAAGTCTTTTAAAAATTAGCTTTCTCTGGGTTGGCACCTATAGCACAACAGTTGCGGCACCAGCCACATACACTGAGGCTGGCTAGTTGAAACCCAGCCTGGGCCAGGTAAACAGCGATGACAACCACAACAAAAAAATAGCTGGGCATTGTGGTGGGTCCCTGTTGTCCCAGCTACTTGGGAGGCTGAGGCAAGAGGCTTGAGCCCGAGTTTGAGGTTCCTACGAGCTGTGACACTACAGCATTCTACTGAGGGTGACACAGACTCTGTCTCAAAAAAAAAAAAAAAACTTAGTTTTCTATTCCTAACTATATAATCCAACCACCTTCCTACACTCTGAAAATGGGCATGCTACTTTCATCAACTTGTTGGTTCCTTCACCAGCAGGCTGACAAATTGTGATCAAGGATCAAAGTTAAGAAATTGTAACCTCTTGCCCTGGCAATAGAGGCCTGTTCACGGTCTATGGCGTATGTATCCTGCTTAAGTTAGAGCAAGATTTCTTAGTCTACCTTTCTTTTTCTGAATAAACTTTCTTTCTTTCAGCCTTGCCTTTTAAAAAAAAAAAAAAAGAAATGTTGTCTTTGATAATATATAAACAATAGCGGCAACAGCCAGCAGTTTATAGGCTGTTAAAATTGCTGCAGGTCCTCTTGGTTTTTAAACCTAGATGATCCTAGATAAGCATTCCACAGTTATAGACATCAATTTTTATAACCTTAGTTATTATAGACATTAGTAATTCAAAGCACTCTTTGTGCCAAAAAACCCCAATCTTAGTCCTCTTTTCAGGTTTAAGGCACTTAATGGCAAGATTTAAATATATTAATCCTAATATATTAATGTTGAAAAAACTAATAAATTTTCAAAAACATAAATAAAATAATCATTAAACAATGTCATCTAACAGCATTTATACATCTAAGGAGTAAATAATGCTCTATTTGCCTTCAGAAAATGCTTACAAAGATCTTGCAAACCTAGTATAATTTAATTAACCCCTTTTGGTAAAAGATTTATAATACATACCCATGTGTGTCTACATATGGGTATGTATAGCATAGTCACAGTATATTCTAATATAGTCTATATTCTGTATAGTATACACTTATATTTTTTTCATCAATAAATGGGAGTCATGATAGAGGAAAATCCTTCCCATTTAGTTTTGTAGCTAGTATCTCAAAATAATCCTCCTCTTCCCCTCTAAACAGTATTTGATGATGCTTTAAAACACCATTTAGCACTGTATTATAATATAAACAATATGTGGATAAGGCCTATTAATCTTCTTGTTTACAATCATATACCAGCACCTTGTATAGGACCTATGTCTAGTAATTAAATGCAAAAAATATTTGCTAAATAAATGAACATTTTTAATAACCATGCTGGTGGCTCAGTGCCTATGGCTCAAGCGGCTAAGGCACCAGCCACATACATCTGAGCTAGTGGGTTTGAATCCAGCCTGGGCCCGCCAAACAACGATAGCAGCAACCAAAAAAAAAAAAAAATAGCTAGGCGTTGTGGCAGGCACCTGTAGTCCCTGCTACTTGAGAGGTGGAGGCAGGAGAATCGCTTGAGCCCAGGAGTCAGAGGTTGCTGTGAGCTGTGATGCCGCAGCATTCTACTAAGGGCAACAGCTTGAGGCTCTGTCTCAAAAAAATAAATAAATAAAAATAACCATGCTGGTGCCTTTAAACTAATCCTTCAAGGCAATCCTAATATTTAGACTGGTAATATCCTTGAAAAGGAGGGAACATACAATTTGTCATTACAGTTCAAATCATTCCATAAGCAGCTTTTAGACTAAAGATGAATGAATACCATAGAGCATCTATATAACTACAAATGTGCTAAGTAAAAGAAGACAGTTACCAGAAAGTGGTACTGATTTCAGCACAGAGATAAACTTCTGGATGAGTTGTGAAAGAAACCGTCTTTCTTGATAGGCTCTAAAATCAGAAAGAATATGAACAAATTATTTTTGAAAAACAGTTATTAAAAAGTAAATTTTAAATGTTGATCAAGCCTATCTTTAATCGTTCATGTTTCATTTCTCTCTAAAACTGGGGCCACAATTTAAACATCTGCTGCTTCTTTGTACATAAATATAGTGTTATATGAAGAAAAGGAAAGCCGTATTACTGGCCTAATAAGCCAGTAAAGTAAGATGGCTTTTCCTCACTGCAGAAGTTTTCACTTATGATTTAAGGCTCAGAACTAGAAAGGAGTTTTCGAAATTTTACTTACATTCTGTCCAACATTAAAAATCTAACATTTAATGTAGTTAAAATGAAACAACTTCATACTTTAATGTTTAAAATATTAAATATAACAAGAGTATTGCTGGCTGATACAATAGAAGTAGTATCAGAACTTATTAACACTAGTGTTACTAAAGTTGGTATACAACAACCCTCTTGCTAAATCTGAATGGCCAAATAAATAGTAGTACAATGACTAAAGATTAAATATCAGTTTGAAAAAAAATTTCTATGCGTAACTAATTTATGATACACCAACAAACATCTGTTAGGTACTGGATATCTGCAAATGACTATAATATCCTGCTGGAAACACAAAGGAGGGATTGACTAAAATCCACTTGGAATTATAAGTCATCTAATATAAAAGATAATTAGTTATAAGACAGTATGTAATTAATAAAACTAATATATCTCCAATGTCTATAATAATATCTGGCAAATTAATACTCAATATTTGTTGAATAAATGAATGATAGCTGTAGTATATAAAACTCATTGTTAAGAGTGAAGGGGTAGGCTTGGTGCCTGTAGCTCAGCGGCTAGAGCACCAGCCACATACACTGGAACTGGCAGGTTCAAACCCAGCCCAGGCCCACCAAACAACAATAACAACTACAACCAAAAAATTGCCGGGTGTTGTGGTGGGTGCCTGTGGTCCCAGCTACTAGTAAGGCTGAGGCAAGAGAATTGCCTAAGCCCAAGAGTTTGATTGCTGTGAGCTGTAGATTGCTGATTGCTGTGAGATTGCTATGACGCCACAGTACTCTACCCAGGCCGACATAGTAAGACTCTGTCTCAAAAAAAAAGAGTGAAGGGGTAAGAAAAGGAAAGAAAAGCTGGATTATTAATAGCCTGATTATGGAGAAAACTGAGAACCATCCATGAAGGCCAGATTATGGACAAGAAGTAGCAAGAAAAACAATGAGCAACTCTACACACTTATCACTGGCAAAGAGAAAAGGCAAAGAAGAAAAGCATGGTAATGTGGCTTCTCCTTTAGACGTCTGTGAAAAATATTCCTGTGATGGTCTAAGCAAAAGCACTTATTAACAACTCACTTGCACTCAGCACTACATGAAAGGAAGCAATAAGCCAGACATCATCATCTAAGAACCATAACCCACTATAATCAGCTCATACAGAATGAAGCTTTGCCAACATACTGTTCCCTTGCTCCTGGATCCATCTTTTCATCATTCTTTTTAATCAAGTTCCAGAATTTTCTTAGCTTAGGCGTCTTTTTTAATTCTAATTCCAATCGTGCCTGCAAGAAAGATATCATATTAAATCATCAGTAACTCTAATGTTTCCAAGGATAAGGATTAGATCAGCTATTACACACTTTCCTAATATATGGATACCATACGGAACATTATGATAAACCTGAAAGCAATATGACAAACCTTGAAAACTAAGAAATATTTTTTAAAAAATTCTAATGCCTATTAATAAAAATAAAAGACAAAAGTATCATTTCTAGCCAAGATTTTTAAGTCCAATAATCAACAAAATTTCTTTTTTATTTCTGAAATTAAGGATTTCAGTCTGAGAAATGTAAGTACTAACACTATGAGCTTATATCACTGAAGTCTAAAAAAATTGTGAGTCTGAAACAAGGAACAAAAAAACAACTATCAGGCTTGGTGACCACAGCTCATTGGTTAGGGTGCCAGTCACATACACCGGGGCTGGCGGATTGGAACCCAGCCCAAGCCTGCTAAACAACAAGGACAACTGTAACAACAACAACAAAAACTGGATGTTGTGGCAGGTGCCTGAGAATCACTTAAGCCCAAGAGAAAGGTTGCTGTGAGTTGTGAAAAAAAAAAAAAAACCAGAAGTAAACAAGGGAATGTCCACATCAGCATATACTCTCTTACAGTGCTTGCTATTTTTAACTTGCTATTAACTATTTATGTATGCCTTGTGTTTTTATTCCTATCAGCAGATGCCTGTGAAGGAGCCTGCATATCTGGGTATACACAGAAACACCTATGTGTAGGAAATAGAATTTTGAAAAAAGTATTACACTAAAAAAATGATAGTTTCAACTCCCTAAAATGTGTTCGTTTGGCTTTGACACCTGCATATATTATCCACTAAGGATTAGATGAAAAATTGGAAGTCATTAATATTAAACATGATCCATACCTACTCCTACAGCTATATATCCATTCTGGTCAAGAGATAAAAAAAATTCTCATCCAAAATCATACATAAAGTTAATCATACTTTGCTAAATTAACCCCCTTTCTCTACAAGCTCAATAGATACTATCTTATTTCACTTCACAATACTGAAATCACATATTAGATTTCACATAAAAAACTTTACAACTATAAAAACTGCATCTATGATAAGCAGGAAAGGATGGTTAGCTACCACTTTTATATCCACGTTAAATTTCATTGATAACAGTCTAAAACCACATGCTTCACTTATAACATATACACATATTATAAGATTCTGAGATTATATACTTACAGGCTGTAAGCCCATCCACATTGGAAGGGAGATAAGCTGCTGGACTTGACTCCGTATCAAGTCTACTTCCTGTTTAATGCATGGAGAAAACAAGTTTAGAAACACAACAGCATCTCTACTCAAGTCCTTTAAACTGCCTTTTCAAGTCCTGGAGGGGATCACATGCTACAAATACTTTCAAAATGAAGATATCTGAATTAAGAAGTTGAATACTTTTTTTTTCTTTAAAGACAGAACTAATCTTCATCATTTGCAAATTTCATATTTTCAAATTCACCTAGCCAGAATTTATTTTAACTCCACAATCAATATTCCCTGCATTTTAAGTCATTCACAGACAGTACCGAATGGCCAAAAATTTGAGTTGCTTGATGCACACATCCCCAGCAGAGGCTGAACTGATACTCTGCTTCACTTTCAGCTCTTGTACTATAACAAACAAGTATCCTTTTTGTGGTCTATTTAGTGCTACTTTTTTCACATGTTTGTGCTTTTGTTGGTAATTTTGCCATCAGAATGGTCCTGAGCACAAGGCTCTATAATGTTCATGGGTGCAAGAAGCTCGGGACATGCCTTATGGAAAAAAACGTGTGTTAGATAAGCTTTGTTTAGCCATTAAGTATAGCATTGTTGGCAGTTAGTTCAAGGTTAATGAATGAACAACACAGAAAAGAACCTCTGTAAGTTGACAACCCAAGGGACTATAACTAATTGGTCACCATACAGAGGTAGTCAACATAAGGAAGTAGGCCTACTGTACTGATGATACGTACATGTGGTACATGTCCAGTCTATGAAAATTAGGTCAACTTTAAGGAGGTGGTCAATTGTGGAGGTTGTAATATATATATATTAAGTAAGTTATCTTAAAACAGAAACACATATACAATAAGGTTATGTACTAGTAGGTTAACAAAAACGTAACCAGCCCTTTTGGGAACTTAACTATGTATTTGTCCAAAGAGCAATGGTTCAGTATTAGCTAACTCAAAAATAAACATAACTATCTCAAATAACAGGAACTGACTTCACATTAAAGAGACAAAGCATTTCTTTTCTTTTCTTTCTTTTTTTTTTGGTGGGGGCTGGGTTTGAACCCACCACCTCCAGCATATGGGACTGGCGCCCTACCCTTTTGAGCCACAGGTGCCGCCCTTCTTTTTTTTTTTTTTTTTTAAATAAGACAGAGTCTTACTTTGTCGCCCTCGGTAGAGTGTCATGACATCACAGCTCACAGCAACCTCCAGCTCTTGGGCTTAGGCGATTCTCTTGCCTCAGCCTCCCAAGTAGCTGGGACTATAGGCACCTGCCACAATGCCCTGCTATTTTTTTGTTGCAGTTTGGCTGGGGCCAGGTTTGAACCCGCCACCCTCAGTATATGGGACTGGTGCCCTACCATGTGAACCACAGGCACCACCCAAGACAAAGCATTTCAGTAATAAACTAAGTTGTTAAGTTGATCAAACCTGGTAACAAACTAAGGCTAATTAATTAAATCTTACCCACTGACCTATGGGCACCACCCTGCATTATCAATTCTGAAGTATTTATCTTTGAATAAATATACATATAGCTACAGATGACCCAGTAGTGAAATTCAAATAAAATATTACTTAAAATATTTTTTAGAAGACAATCCTATTAAGAATAAAGATATGTCACACACCACACAGGACTTTTTCTTTTCTTTTTGAGACAGATCTCACTTTGTCGCTCCTGGTAGAGTGTCATGGCATTATAGCTCACAACAACCTCAAACCCTTAGGCTTAAGCAATTCTCTCACCTCAGCCCCACAAGTAGCTGGGACTACAGGCACCTGCCACAACACCTGGCTATTTTTGGAGACAGGGTCTTACTCTGGCTCAGGCTGGTCTTGAACCTGTAAGCTCAAGCAATCCACCCACCTAGGCCTCCCAGAGTGCTAGGATTACAGGTGTGAGCCACCTCACCCAGCCCAACACAGGACATTTCCAAAAATCATTCATAATCGGCCTTTATCAGTCCACTAAAAATACAACTCTCCGGCTCACTAGCCAGCCTACGCATGAAGAGTAACTGAAAAGGAATGAAACTGCATTTTTATGTGCAGCTTGTGGCATGGATCTCTTACTCAA